AAACCCTAAAGACCCTTAAACCGTTAGGGAATCCTTGTAAGCCAAGAGGCCGCTGTGGACACCGCGAGCCTTGCGAAGGCCAAGGCGGATACCCTTGGCAAGGCCTCAGGGGGCGGATCAAAGCTCTAGGGCTTCCATGGTCTAGGGTTTAGGCTAGGGTTTAGGACAAGCTTTAGCCCTGGATAACTTACCCTTCTAGAGTTCCGGGTTATTACACTGCGTGTTTTTTGGGTGTTGGGGTTCGTGCTTCGGCCAAGGACAAGGACCTTGTAGGGTTTGGGGTCCTTCGAGAGTGGATAATGAGGGTTCAGGGGGTTTAGGTTTAGGGCTTGGGGTTTCTGAGGGTCTGGGGTTTGTGGGTTTGAGTTTTGGTTCCTGGGGTTTGGGGTCTTGGGTTACGAGAGGTTGTCGAGCTTCTTCAGCGTTTCGGGTTAAGGGCTTTAGGAGTGTAGTTGGAGCCTCCGAGCTGTTTCGGTATGCGGCGTTGGTAATCAGCGGTTTTGGACACCTTGAACAGCGGATTGGGGAGAGTCGGTTTTACTTCGTGCAGAGCTTTGGGATTACTATGGTGTTGGGTCGACTGGCTTGGCGTGCAGGGTCTTGCAGGGGTGCAACAATTATCGTGTTTTTGCCGGACACAGGAGTCTCACGTGCGAGATTTCAGTTGCTTACATGGCACCGCATAAGAATAGCACAGCAGCAGAGTTTAGTCAGTTAGCCAGGGTGATGCCATGGTCGAGTCGAGGCATTCGCAGAAGCAGGTTCACTCCGGAGAAGTTAGGGCTTGGGTTTGGATTGCAGGGCATCAAGGTGGTGGAGCTTCTGTGAGAGTTGCCGTGAGTGTAGTCCTAATATTGATGACTTGTGAACTGTCTTCATAGGATGTTAGTATGCAGATACCTCTACACGGAGAACGAGAGAAAGCGATATGATAGGACGATAGACGTTTCTAAGGAAGGTCAACAGCAGCTAATCAAACAAAGTGCTCGATTTTGCGTCGTCTCAGGCAACCTACACAAAGGTCAGAAGTGGCACCTTCGCTTGCAATTAGCTGTGGCATGTATGGTCCATAACTGGTGAACACATGGTTCAGGCTAACCGGCTATCTGAATACGGTTTGCAGTGACGCCCTGCGCTATTTTCTTGTAGCTCTCTTGGCACAGTTTCTTTCTTGCGAATTTCAGGGAGCACTTTCGTCGTTGTGAAGGGTTTTTCAAATCGGCATGTCGGTATATCCCATAGGGCTCCAAGTGTACAACGGGCTGTTTGGGGCCCCGGTGTGCGAGCACCTGCATTTTCTGTGGGGATAGTGCAGCACAGGACATGCAGGATTGTAAATCAAGGAGGGGCCTGAAATACTATTCTAACTATCGTACTTCTATGTGTTAGATCCCCCAACTCTATTCTAGTTTGTATGGCCTCTACATTCCTCCAGGCTTCCGGCCGGCTGGCTGGAGATTCGGGCTTTGGGATCAGCCAAGCACCATGTGAGAAGTTGTTCCGCTAGCTTGATAGTGAGCACGGCCCAATGTTTACTTCAGGGACCAGGACTTTGCAAGCCAAAAACACCAATGGTGAACCCCCCAAAAGTGCAAAGCCATGAACTACATTCTGTGGGTGTAGGTGCGGCAATCATAGCGGGTTACGAATTTGAGTTTACCCTACACCCTAATCCTTATGTAAACCTAAACCGAATCAGGATGCAGATTTCGGCTGTCTGAGGTCGCTTCCAAGCAACGGCCGCCGGCGCCCTCGGTGGTGCGACGGCTCTGGGCGCCAGCGGTGGCGCCACAGGCGGGCTCCTTCCTTCCGTAGATCTAGTACCCTAAGGGTCCATGTACTCAAATAGGATATACTTTGGCCTTAATGTAGTTCCTATATACGTACTTTGGGGCCAATGTATATACTATTTGGGTACATGGACCCTTAGGGTAGTATTTAGGGTTTAGGGGTTTAGAGCTCAGGGTTTAGGATTCAGGCTAGGGTCTAGTTACCCTAAACCCTAAACCCTATTTAAAACCTAAACCCTGTTTAAACCCTAAACCCTATTTAAACCCTAAACCCTATTAGCTTACGCTTTTGGATTTGGATTTTTAGGGCGATGTGCTGTAGATTCGCCTGCCTTGATTGCCGCCCTGAGCCTTGCTGCCATGGTTTGTGGTTGGCCAAATAAGACCGACATCCCAAAACGGGGGTTTAGGGTTTAGGGTTTAGGGTAACCCCTAAACCCTAAGCCTCTAAGACCCTAAGCCCCTAAACCCCTAAACCCCTAAACCGTAAACTCTTAACCCGCTTAGGTCCAAGATCCCCAATGAGGCTCCGAATACCTGAAAATGCAAGTCCGAAGCAGAGTCTTCAGAGGGTCAGGCTGACAGGGATCAGGGGTTTAGGGTTTAGGGCTTCACTCGGCTTTGGAGTACCATACAGTTTTTGGGACCTGTTCCTCAAAGGAACCATTATGAAATAAAAGTCTATATTTTTTCTCCCTGGTTACTTCAAAGCCCAGTTCATGAAGCTTCATGAGGAGATCAAAGTCTCAGTAGGGAGTGTTTAGGGTGCAGGGGATGGCTATGAGCCAGTTTGCACTGACAAAACGGGTTCCTGAGCCCATAATTATGCTCCTTGTTTAGGGTTTAGGGTTTAGGGTTTCCTGAGCCCATAATTATGCTCCTTGCTGCAGCCAACGCCGTTTCAGATGTGGGACGGTAACAAAGGTAGCTCTACAAAGATAATAAGACCAGATGCTTATGATTGGATATTTGGATGGGTATCCCTAAGTTTGAGAAACTGAAACCACCCCCCAAATGTGAACACACCCGTCCTCAACTCATCCGCGACGGTCCAACCGGCAACCTTAAACTAAAGAACCCTAGGCATGAAATATAGGGTTTAGGGTTGAGGGTTTAGGGCTTAGGGTTTAATCCCTAAACCCTAAACCCCAAGACCCTATTCTAATTTTTAAGGCCACTACAGCAGGCTCCTTAGGGTCCAGGCAGGGTTTCGGGAACCCAGCCCTCCTAAATCCTTGCGTTTGGAACCCCTTACCATAGGGGCATCCGGAGGAGAGTCATGACTGGTTATGCAAAACCCCAAACCCTAAATCCTAANNCTAAACCCTAAAACCCTCAACCCGAACCTTCAGGCTCTGGGGCTTCCAACCTATAGGCCTATAGGTCTTCCATCTTCAGTTTGGGTTTAGGGAGGCATCAACTACTTTCTATGAGCCATGTAGATGCAAGATCTGAACCCCTAAACCCTCAACTCTAAACCCTAAACCCTAAACCCTAAACCCTAAACCCTAAACCCTAAACCCTAAACCCTAAACCCAAACCTTCAAGTCCAGGACTTGCTGGCGGCCTTGCGGTGGGCACCGCGGTGGGTAGCTTTGGTAACTTGGCCCAGTTGAGGGGTAAGGGTTGTAAAGTTTACTTGTTTAGGCTGTTAGTCCTTTGTAATTTCAGGGAGGTTTTCGTGGTTCATACACTCCAAGAGGAATTGCGACTACATGTACACGGCTTAGCAGCTTATAGGACGCCACGAGAGACTTGTTTTGTGGTGTAGCCGCGAGCATCGACAAGTGCATTAGGACCGGTTAGTAGTGACGGGCGTCGAAATCAGAATGCATGAGGGCAGATCTCTAAGGAAGTCTTCCTTGTTGGATCCCGCGTTGTTCAGAGAACCCCCGCATGTGCTCACGACTGATGCTGAGGGTGTTGTATTCAGGACCAGCTTTGGAGCTGCTGGGAGCTGCCAGTGCAAGGCATGTGTACACATGTGGCTCAAGGTCCAGCGGAACAAATGTCGTAACGCTAACCGGCCGCATTTCAGCGGCGAAGATGTTAGCCCTGTCATGGACTCCCACCTCCCTGCATGGTTCTGCGAGATCTCGGAGCCCCTGGAGTGGGCCACAGGGCCTTCTTGGGTCACAGCTTCACGGGCCTTCGCAACGAGGGTGGGGATGCTGGGGGCTTTGCCTCACTGTCGCGGTCTCTTGGCTAGCCACTTGACTGTGCCCTACACAAGCAGACTGCATGTAATGTAGGGGCCTAAATAACTACCAGTACTATTTTTTGGAGGGTCCTTATTATGACTCTAATAGCATAACGGGCCCCAAAACCTTATTAAAATTGTTGAGGCCCCTAAATTAAGATATCGAGCTGACAGCTGAATAATTGTTAGACTGGTTACTTCTCCAGGTCGGGGTATTTCTGTAGGGTCAAATATCGTGATTCTGTGCCCTGAAGAAGGTTTAGGAGTTTAGGGTTCAGGGGGTTGAGGGTTTAGGGTTTAGGAGTTTAGGGTTCAGGGGGTTGAGGGTTTAGGGTTTAGGGGTTTCGGGTTTAGGGTTTATGGCCCTGGTGAGTCGTCAAAAACCCTCTGTCGGAAACAGTCCTGTCGAGTGTTATGTCGTTGCAGCGAAACAAATGTGATTCCGAAAGACTGCAGCAGGTTTCAAGACTGCCACGTCGGGCTGGAGTGTGCTGGGTGGCATCCCAAAAACGTGCGGAGCTGTTGGTGGATGCAGATCAATGTGGTCTACACCCGACCAGGGAGGCGATCAAACAATTGCGCAAGGAAGGCTTCAGTGTTGCGACCACTGTGTTCGCTGCACCTGGTAGAGTGGACAGCAAGATGTGGCGGAGTTTTTTTCAACAGCTTGGAGTTTCCTTTAGCCCGGTGCCACGAAGCGAAGGAGGAGAGGCAACCGACACAGCCATTGGCTCAAAATTGGCACAGTTGGCGCAATCGACAGGTGATGTGTGCATAGCCCTGTTGACAGCTGATATCGACTTTCTTGAGCAAGTTCGGCATATCGTGTCTTTGCACAGGTAAGACGTTTGTGTTTTTGTACCGAGTGGTGCAGCATCTAGTATTCGGATGTATGAAGAAACGGATGCACGTGTTCTGCCTGTGACTACACATCTCTAGGCGCTGAATGTGGTCGTCAAGGAACGAAAGTTAGAGCTATTTTGCAAGCGGACGGAAATGGAGTTGTCAAGATGGTAGCGGAGCAGTTCTCGGCTTCGCCTGCCTCTGGTGAAGACTTCGATCAACTTCAGACCTCCCTGCAGGAGCTTGGCTATCGTGACGAGAGCGGATACCTTGTGCAGTCAGTTGCAAAGTTTTGGTTCGGAAACCGCCTCGGACCGCTTACGGTTTATCCATCCCAGGCTGCATGTGCAGAAGCATTCTCAGTGCTCCAAAACACAAAGCGTCGAGGGCCGTGTGCTCGCTACCGTAATGACCTTGCATTTTTCCTTCCAACTACGAGTCATGGAAAGATGACGCGGCAAAAGCGCATCGCTTATGGTGGAGCGAGACCAATGAGAGTGTTCAAGGGTGGAGGGCCTTTCGTGATCAAGGATTCGGAAGGCATGGTAGCAGAAGCTCTTCGCAAGATGGGGTATATGGATGAAACTTTCAACAACGACTTGCCTGAAGCATTGTTCGTATTTGTGAACAGACCGGATCACAAGAGCACCCTGCGAAAAACGTTTGACGCACTACCGACTTCCACGGACACTGCTGTCGACGTGAAGCAGAAACTTAGGCATGCATTTCTGTCAAACTATACCCAAGGCCGATGGGTTGTTGCGCCGAAAGACACTGAAGTGCGACAGACTCTTTGCAAACATGGTTTCTTGACGAACATTCAAGCTCCTCAGGCCGAAGCGCTACAAGCAATGCAGAGTTTTGTTCGCAGTCGCGGTTTACGGGAGATGCGCAGCTACAACGGGCTCGTTTTCAACATCCAGCAGCACATCTACAACAAGGATCCTGACAGGGTTGGAAGCATCGAGTTTAAGATCTGAGGTCGCTCCAAACGCCATCTTCGCAGAGTTTTTAACGTTCAAGATCTAAAAATCTAAGTTTGCACTGTCCCAAGCAGGATCTTGCCTTCATGGGTCAAGCTGCAGCATGGGTTTCAGTTGTGATATCCAGCTCGTGCCAATATCTTGCTCGCGCCAGTCAAGATAGACCGTGAAAATCGATGCCCCATGTTATCTAATAGTGCTGCATTGCCCGAGAGCTTAGGCTCGTAACATGCGTTTCTAAGCGAACGGAGGACTGCTGGAGGAGGAGGTAGGTTGCCTGCTCCAGAAGGGAAACATATTAGACTGAGTCGCAACAGATACCTTGAAGCAGAGTCTTGGCCGAGTTCTCCTGGTTGAAATCTAGCCTACGCATCATACAAGCCCCGGTTCGTAACAAGCAAAGTGCCAAAGACAATCGCGACTGAAGATTTCCCTAAAACCCTAGGTGCGCTTGTAAAGTTCTGATCTTCAACTCAACATGTAATTTTGACCATTGGCATGGGGCAAATCGAAGCCAATAAGTTGTGAAAGCTTTGATGCTAAATTGCGCAGGTGATGTAGACCACGTGTGATAGGCAAGAACACAATGAGATATCCGTAAGCCCACGTCAAGATGCTGTTACAGGCAAACATTTCCATTCAACACGTCACTTCGACCGGAAGCGCGAAAGCTGAAGAAGGCGAGGATTGACCAGATACCCCAAAACCCCAACGCATCAAATACCAGAAAGTTCAACTCAACAGGTTTCATATGAGGGTTTTTGTTTTGCCATTCGGCCTTTGAGCCCTGGACCTGATCCCGAAGGCCCCACCTCCCCCCCTCCCCCATCCAGGCAGTAATGGGTTGGTGGCGAGCCTTAAGCTCCGCAATCGCTAAACCCAACAACAATCCCGGGAGCATCGAATAGTCAAGTATAGAACAATATAGTATAGATCAGCATAGCTTTGAATAACGAAGCATAGAATAACACTGTATAGAATAATATAGTAAAGTAATATAGTAAAGAATTGACTAATCTAGTAGTATACAGTATATAATTATTTTTTTAATTATTGATCATCTTCCGGCTTCCCCATCTTTCCCAAACATTAATATGATTAAAAGCCGGAGCCTTGAAGCCTTCCTTCTGGAGGCTTTGCGTCCCGCCCTCCAACCACATCTCATCCTCAGCCCGAACCTCTCCGACATGAAAAGCGATCTTAATGGGGTTTAGGGCTTAGGGTTTAGGGTTTGGGGTTTAGGGTTTGGGGTTTAGGGTTTAGGGTTTGGGGTTTGGGGTTTAGGGTTTAGGGTTTAGGGCAGGTGTTTCAGGATTCAAGATGCAGTGTGTTTGGGGGGGGGAGGGGTGGTGTTTTTGGGCATTGTGAAACTTTAGCGCAGACTGTAGACCACTGATCATGCGGCACCTTACGAGAAAATATGAATGGAGACAGGTCTGAAGAATTCGTAGTAACATCTTCTCATGGTTCCTATATTTTGCTATGCAAAAATCTGCATCTCTTAATAGTTCCTGGCTATGTAGGCATACCTCAAAACTCAAAACCCTACTCCATGTGTGAAGGTGGCCCGTTTTTACCTTTCGAGGTGCCTTGTTCACGTTCGGCTTGTCTGTGCCAGTGGGTGCAGCCATCGGAGGAGGAACAGGTGCGCTCCTGAGCCCATGACCCAGTGAGTCCCAGCAGAGCCATCAATCCTAACAGCCCCAAGCATCCCTGACTCTTACAGTCATGTGTTTTTGCATGTTCTGCTAAAGTCGTTGTTGTTGCTGGTGGAAGTGGAAGTGGTGGTGGCGGTGGCGGCGGTGGCGGTGGCGGCGGGGGTGGGGGTGATGGTGTTGGTGTTGCTTCTCCCGCCGTTGCTGTCGCTGATGCTCTTGCCGTTGAGCTCCACAATGTGTAAGCCTCCAGCTGCTAGCTTAAACTGAACTCCACATTGCTTTGCATCCTGAATCTGTTCCTGAATCCTAAACTTTTTCAATTCCCAACAGTCCCAACATGTAACCGCATGCCACAAGCATCCTAAACCTGCCAGGCTAAATCAACCACGTTCGCCGTATTTCCCTAAGGGTCTACGTGCCCAAATAGTATATACATTGGCCCTATAGTACCTACATAGGGACTACATTAAGGCCAAAATATATACTATTTGGGCACCTGGACCCTTAAACCCTATGGAACCCTATAGACCCCTTAAAGGACCCCTTAAAGGAACCGTTAAAGGAATCCTATTTGGGCACCTGGACCCTTAGGGTTTAGCCCTGAACACTCTTTTCGGAGGTTGGCTTGTCGGCACTGCCGTCGGAGCCAGCCTTGGCGTTGCTCGACTTTTCATGTGAGTTTAGGGTTTAGGGTTTAGGGGTTTAGGGGTTTAGGGGTTTAGGGGTTTAGGGGTTTAGGGTTTAGGGTTTAGGGGTTTAGGATTTAGGGCTTAGGGGTTTAGGGTTCAGAGTTTAGGGTTCAGGGTTTAGCAGGAAATGGCGTACTTCGCGGTAGAGCTCCCAACAGCATCATCCTAAGCATGAGAAGGGCCTCATGTTTTAAGCAAGTTGCCCAGTTCTATGTTAATGCAGCTGACTGCCGTGAGCATGTGATGGCCGAAACCTTAATTCAGGGCTTTGAGTTTCCTTCTTAACGCCTAGTCTTCTGCATGTACTCTCTAGAATCTTGAGCCCTGAACGGCCCTAAATCCAAGAAGCACCAGAGCCCCAAACTCACAAGTCCTGAAAGCCCCAAGCACCCCCCCCCCACGCCAAGACATTTCTGAACTCTGCCCCGTGTTTGTGTTAGAGCCCGAAGACTCACTGTTCAGGATCAGCCACAGGTCGGTGGAAATAGGGTGTCACCCACACAACATGGAAGCACAAGTAATCGTTTGGGATTGATGTTTGTTCACACAGCTCTATTTAGTTATACATAGTAATAAATCTGTATACATGTATATATATATATATACATAGAGACGGAGAGAGTGTTGTATGTGTGTATATATAATATAGATATAGGCATGCACATGTGTAAGTAAGTCTCTCTCTCTCTCTATATATATATGAACATATGTGCATCTATGTAATATATATATATATATATATATAATCGTAAGATACATATACATAGATGTATACATATATATATATATATGTACACGCAAATGATATGCATGTACACATTCACGTACACATACGCACGTGGTTGCTGTTGCTACAAAATATGAGTGGCACCCCTAGACCCTAAACCCGAAACCCTCACCCTAAGCCCATTTTAACTAGGTGCAGAGCTATCTTCTCTCGAAGCTCCCAAAACAAGGAAAACCCTTTGCCCTCCTTAGCCCCGCTGTCCCAAACCGCATACCCTAAACCCTTCGGGTTAAGGGTGAGGGTTTAGGGTTTAGGGCCTAATTAACCTAAACCCTATATTATATCCTATACCACTCAAGACACAGTCCAAAACTAGTCCTAGGGCTCCGGTTGCTTAAGAAGCAGGTTGCTACTCATGAACCGCCTGGAAAACCGGAGCCCAGAAACTCAAACCTTAAACCTTCGACGCTAAACGCTTAACATTATAGGGTCTTGCTGCAGCGACCCTGCAAGGACCCCTAATTATAATGACCTCCAAATCTAAACGCAGAAACGTGGCATTAAGTAGCAATCCCCCAGCATTATAGTCTGAGTAGTATCACAGTTGAAGATGCAGCAGAACCCGATGCTTCATTATGGCCAATCCTCTAAACCCTCATAGCGCGCGTCTGAAGATCCGCGTTCTATGCAAAAGATGATGGCGCCCATAAACCCCAAGCCCTGAAGCTAACATTACATGCCGTGACCCTGACTCTCAGGCTTTTGGCGGAGGGGTGGCGGCCTCGACTCTCTACGACCGGAAGAGATGATCGAGCGCCGAGGCCGTGGGATGTTGATAAAACCCAAGGCTTCCAAGGACCTTATAGCCCTAGACCCCTTAAGGACCCAATAAAAAGGTCCCTGGAAGCCTCGGGAAAGACTATAGTATTTATTTATTTGCTACGTATGTTGAGAGGGGGGCGGGTGTTTGATGGGGGTGTTACGAGGGTTTTTGTAGTTTTGTTTCGGGGCTGCCTTGCCTGGTGAGGTTCCTGTCTGTTTGTTTTGTTTGTCCAAGGTTAGAAGTATGGGCCCCTAATATGGACCCTTAGGCCTTTCTAGGGTCCCTCAAGGGTTCATATAGGGTATATAGTAGGTACATATGGGTGCCAGGGTTAAGGGGCCGTAGAGGCCCGTGGGTTCAACCTTACAGTTTGGCTGGTTGTTTGGGGTTCGACGGAATTTGTAGCTGTAACATGCAGTTTGCAGCCCTGGGCCCTGCAACCCCCAACCCAAACTTGCAATGTAGGGGCCCCAATAATTAGAATAGGGTTTTGGGGGTTCCTTCTTATAATTATAGTACCATATGTCCCCAAACCCTATTCTAATTCTTTTGGCCCCTATAGTAACCCCCAAGGCTTAAAGTGCAAAGTCTTGGGGCTCGTCATGCACGGGAACCCTACTAGATTCGACGTGACCACATGCGTGGCCCAAAGGCCATCCATAGCGACAAGAGGGTCTCAATGGCATGGACGGATCATATCGTTTCTAGTTCGTGAACCCCTATATGCTAAAACCCTTAGCCCTTAAAGTGCCTCACTATGGAAATCTTGGCACAGGAATCCTTGGTAGGAGTCAGGAGTGCTTGTAGGGTGGAGGAGTTCTGCTTTTCCTCCGTAAGCCCCTTAACGTTCAAGCTTTTGAGAACCCTAAACCCGAAACCCTATTATACCCTACGGGTGCTTGGGTCAGGATAGTAGACGTGCAGGTTAGTAGTCGGGAGAGTATATGATTACTAGGCACTTAGACGCTTAGGGTTATGCCGCCCCAATCCCGAACAGTCTCATTTTCGGACGTTGCAGGACTTGGCTTCGCTTCGAGCCGATCTCGCGGGCTTCTGCAGTTAGTTCCCATGATCTGGACCTAGATTACAGGTCAGGGCTG